AATCCTGTCTTTCACTAAAAATAAACAAAAAAACTTAGCTGGGTGTGAGTGGGGTGTGGCGCCTGATAATACACCAGAGCTACTTGGAAAAAGGATAGAAAGCATGAGAAAACGTCTTGAACCCGGGAAAGGGGCGGAGTTGCAGTGAAGCCGACATCGCATCACTGCACTCCAGCCTGCGGGGGGATAGAAAGTGAAGAAAACCTCTGTCTTCAAAAAAAAGAAAGAAAAGAAAAATTAAAGAATCTTAAATTGGATGTGGTAGGCACACACCCTGTAGTCCCAGGCCACATGGGAGGGGATTGCTTGACCTAGGGAAGGTCCGAGGGCTGCAGTGAGTTTGTGATCGTCCACCTTTGCACTCCAGTCTGGGTGACAGCGAAGTAAGACCCATTTTCATTTTTTTTTTTTTTTTTTTTTTGGGACGGAGTCTCCGCTGTGTCACCCAGGCTGGAAGTGCAATGTGGGACCGGATTCTCAGCTTCACTCAAGCCTCCGGCCCTCGCCGGCGGGTTTTTTCCTTGCCATTCTCCCCTTGCCTCAGCCTCCCAAGGGATAAGCTGTGAACTAAACAGGCGCCCACTCACCTGTTGTAATAAAATAAAAAAAAAAAGGAAAACTAAAAGAAAAAAAAGGAGAAAGGTCGCGCGCTAGTTTTTTGGTAATTTTTAAGTAGAGACGGGGTTTCACCTGTGTTTGCCCAGGATGGTCTCAATTCTCCTGGACCCCCCGTGGTGATCCGCCTCTCAGGCTCCAAAGTGCTGGGATAATACAGGCCTTGAAGCCACCGCCGCCCGGGGCCAGACCCCGTCCATTTTCTTAAAAAACAACAACAACAAAGAACTAAGGACGGCGCTGGCTAGGTCGAAACATCAATCATGCTGTTACTTAGCTGTGCACTCAATGGGACGAGATTATTTAACTTTCTCTGTGCCTCAACTGCCAAATGGGAATAACAAATAGGAACAGTAACCTCATGGAGATTTGTTATGGAGAAATTAAATTAGTTAATGTAATAGGGAAAGGGCCAGGCAACGGTGGCCTTAACGCCTGTAAATCCTGTGGCACTATGGGAGGACGAGGTGGAGGATCGCCTGAGGTCAGGAGTTTCGCAGAACCAGCCTGGCCAAAACATGGGGTGAAAAAGCCCATCCTCTTTCTAAAAAATGACCAAAAATTAGCCAGGGCAAAATGGGTGTGGGCACCCTGTAATCCCAGCTACTCAGGGGGAGCTGAGGCAGAAAGAATCACCGTGAACCCAGGAAAGGTTGGAGGGTTCAGTGAGCTGAGATCCATGCCCACTGGCAGCTCCAGCCTGGGCAACACAAGGCCAGAAGACTCCCAATCTCAAAAAAAAAAAAAAAAACTTTATTAAGGTATTAGCCAGGCGTAATGGCATGCACCTGTAGTCCCAGCTACCTGGGATGCTGAGGTGGTCGATCACTTGAGCCTAGGAGGTCAAGGCTGCAGTGAGCTGTGATTGTGCCACTACACTCCAGATTGGGTGACAGAGCAAGACCCTGTCTCAAAAAAAAAAAAAAAAAAAAAAAAGCTGAGGTGGGAGGATCTCTTGAGGCCAGGAGTTCAAGACCAGCCTGAGAAACATCGAAACCCCATCTCTACAAAAAACAAATTAGCTGGGCATGGTGGCATGCACCTGTAGTTCCAGGTGGGAGGCTGAGGTGGGAGGATCACTGGAGACCAGGAGTTGGAGGCTGCAGTGAGCAATGATCGCACCACTGTACTCAAGCCTGGTGAGATATATTAGGAAAACACTTAGATTTGTGCCTGGTGTGTGGTCAGTGATATATAAATGTTGGAAGAGGGAGATAGGAAAGACACACTCCTTGTTCATTGGCAGATAATGAAGAAATATTCCAGGGAGGATGCAAATAAGGAGGTTTAGTCTCCCCCTTCCCACCCACACATCAAATAAAATAAATTATAAGGGAAGTAGCTTCTGTACACCTCTCTGAGCCTGAGGACAGAGCTTCATGATGACACATACTGCAGCAAATCATAAGCCAAAGAATGGAGTTGTTGGCAGTGAATTTACTGTTGGGATATTGCAGATTGATTACAATGTATTAAATAGATTGGATAAGGCCAAGAGGACAGATTGGTATCTAGAAGGCACTGATGGAATTTTCCTCTAGAATGCCAGGAAGGAGCTCTACCCTCACAATACAGGCTTCATGCCTCCTCAACTGTGCAGGGGAGGAGGTCAGAGCAAAGTACTTTCACCAGGAGATAAGAGGATCCATCTTTATGCCTAGCAGCACAGCCTCTCTCTGAGTCCCAGGACAGCAGAACACCCAGGGCCGTGGGTAGGCCTGCTGGGAGAAGATAAAGTATGTGTCAAATGACTGACATTGGGTGGGAACAGGCGCCCCACCTCTGATTGGTGAGTTAGACACAGTCCTGGGCAGGAGACCAAATAAGACTTGGCTTGGCATCGGTCCCATGCTTCAGATGCATCTATCTTTGGTCTTTCAAGTTAAACCCAAAGCAACACTCATCATCTGTGCTTTCTTCACTTTCGTGTCCCATTCCTTCCAGGATGCCTTCCTTCTTTTCCTGCCAGGCCCACTCTGGTGGAGTGGAAAAGTCTAATGCTTTGATACCAGGTAAATGCTGTATTTTATCTTGCCTTTTAACACACTCGTTCTTGGTTCATTGTTCAAACATCCATGTCTTTGGCATAGTCAGTCACAAGGGTCGGTCTCTAGAGGACATGGATCCTGCCTGTTTGCTTGATTTGGCTTGAAGGCACATCACTCAGCACAATTACTTATTAAAAGGTATTTGATTATAACTGTCAGTGTTGAAAGGAAATTTCCAGACAAGAGCTTCATCTGTTAATGAAGCTGCATTCAGTCTTCTTTTTAATTTTCTTGAGCTCCTTTCAGATAAATTGGAAAACAAATACCCTCAATTAAGACAATTGATATTGCAGGGCGCAGTGACTCACGCCTGTAATCCCAGCACTTTGGGAGGCTGAGGTGGGTGGATCACGAAGTCAGGAGATCAAGACCATCCTGGCTAACACGGTGAAACCCCGTCTCTACTAAAAATACAAAAAATTAGCCAAGTGTGGTTGTGGGCGCCTATAGTCCCAGCTACTCGGGAGGCTGAGGCAAGCGAATGGCATGAACCCAGAAGGTGGAGTTTGCAGTGAACGGAGATAGCATCACTGTACCCCAGCCTCGGTGACAGAGTGAGACTCCATCTCAAAAAAAAAAAAAAAAAAAAAGACATAATTGATATTAAGAAGCCTATCCCCAAATGGCCTGAATTTCTATGGAGTGATTAAGAGCATGATTATCTCCAATACTTTACTAGCTGTGTAACACTGACTAGCAATGTTGGGCAAGTGACTGACATCTCTGAAAAACATAAACCTCATCTGCAAAATGGAGCTATTTCATAGGACTCTTCTGAGGATTAAATAAAATGATGCAGGTAAAGCATTCATCACATTGCTTAAAATGTAGTACATGCTCACATATCACCCTTAACAGCTACATTTTAAATTAGGAATTTATTTGCTGATTTACATCATCTTCCCAAGGGCAAATTGATTAGCCTGTCCACCAAATTGTAAACTCTGAAAGGCAAAAACGCATTTAATTTGTAATCAGTTTAGAGACATTAAAAATTTTGCTGACTTCTTTTTTTGTTTGAGACAGAATCTCACTCTGTCACCGAGTTTGGAGTACAGTGGTGCAATCTAAACTCACTGAAACCTCCACCCCACCTCCACTCTTCCATCCCCCACCCCTGGGCTCAAGCGATCTTCCCACCCCTGGGCTCAAGCAATCCTCCCACCTCCGCCTCCTGAGTAGCTGAGACTACAAGCATGCACCACTATGCCCAGCTAATTTTTTCTTTTTTTTGTATTTTTTGTAGAGACAGGGTTTTTATCATGTTGCCCAGGCTGATCCTGAACTGGGCTCAAGTGATCCATCTGCCTCGGCCTCCCAAAGTGCTGGCATTACAGACATCAGCCACCTGGCCTGCTGACTTTTTAAAAAATCTTTTATACATGCATACACACACAGAAATATGTGTACATTCTCAAGATTTTTTTAGACCACAATCCATTTCTGCCAAACAAAAAAATTCCATGGAATGGTACATTTATAATTTATTTTCTTGCTCTTCTGTAAAGCAAGAAACAAATTATCATCTCTGTTTACCTCTGCAAAGAAATCACCAGAATTAAATATAAGAAAATAATTCAAAAGAAAAAATATAAATAGATAAATATGTACAGTCAGCCCTCCATATCCATGAGTTCTACATCTGTGGATTCAACCAAATGGGGATGCAAAATACAATATTCTCAGAATGCAGAACCCATGGTTACAGAGGCTTACTTTTCACATCCAGGGTTTCAGCAGGGCCAACTACAGGACCTGAGCATCCTCAGATGTTGGTATTCAAGGGGATCCTGGAACTAATTCCCCTTCAGTATCGAGGGATGACCATGTATATATATAGTCATGCACCGCACAACATTTTGGTCAGTGATGGACCACATATATGAAAGTGGTCCCATTAGATTATAAACTGTATTTTTTACTGTATCTTTTCTGTGTTTAGATACGTTTTGATACACAAATGCTCACCATTGTGTTACTGTTGCCTACAGTAGTCAGTGTAGTAACATGCTGTACAGGTTCATATGGTTTTATGGCATTGAGCACTTAACCTGTGGGATCGCCAGGTGTCAGAATTAAATTGAATTATAAGACATCCAGCCAATGTCTGTTACAGAATTGCTTGTTTTGTGTGTGAGGGAAAAAACTCACACATATCTGGTATCAAAAGTGTTGTGCTGAATGACTGTGTCAGAGAATAGGAAAAAGACACTTTGGGCTGGGTGGGGTGGCTCATGCCTCCAATCCTAGCATTTTGGGAGACCGAGGAGGGCAGATCACTTGAGGCCTGGAACTTGCAACCAGCCTGGGCAATATGACGAAATCCTATCTCTATAAAAGATACGATAATTATCCAGGCATGGTGGCACATGCCTGTAGTCCCAGGTACTCAGGAGGCTGAGGCAGGAGGATCATTTGAGCCCAGGATGTGGAGGTTGCAGTGAGCTGAGATCGTGCCACTGCACTCCAGCCTGGGTGACAGAGTAAGACTTGTCTCAAAAAAAAAAAAAATTGGGTTTTTTTTTTCCTTGATATCTCAAATACATATATTATGTTTGTTATCAACAGATATATATATATAGATATAGATATTCTGTGTAAGCAACACTACACGCTTTAAAAATGTTAAAAAATTGAAAAATGTACAATTTTAGGGGAATAGCTAAATTAAGTATGACATAACATGATTGGAATTTATGCAGTCATTTCAATTAGTGACTGTTAGAGAGATGGAAAAGTATTTACAAAATAAATGAGAATATAGAAATATAAAACTATATACAATTATGACTATGTAAAAACCATGTGATCTATTCATTTATGCAAATTTAACCTTCTAGACTTTTTAAATTTTGAACTTTTACAAGCATGCTCCTGTGTTACTCAGATAATAAAAACTAATGGATTTACATAAATATTAGATAAGAGCACAAATGAAGGAAAAAGTATGTTAAAGATCATAAATTAATTTTAGTACAACATCTTTTGTAAAATTTCAAAGTTTATTGATTTTTATTTATTATCTTTTTTTTTTTTTTTGATGGAGTCTTGCTCTGTTGCCCATGCTGGAGCGCAGTGGTGTGATCTCGGCTCACTGCAACCTCTGCCTCCTGGGTTCAAGCGATTCTCCTCCCTCAGCCTCCCAAGTAGCTGAGATTATAGGCATGCACCACCATGCCTGGCTCATTTTTTGCATTTTTAGTAGAGACAGGGTTTCACCATGTTGGCCAGGCTGGTCTCAAACTCCTGACCTCAGGTGATCTGCCCACCTCAGCCTCCCAAAGTGCTGGGATTACAGGCATGAGCCACCATGCCCGGCTAATTTTTGTATTTTTTAGTAGAGACAGGGTTTCACCATGTTGGCCAGGCTGGTCTCAAACTCCTGACCTCAGGTGATCTGCCCACCTCAGCCTCCCAAAGTGCTGGGATTACAGGCATGAGCCACCGCGCCCGGCCCAGCCTTTTTTCTGAGAGAGTCTCAAGTCTTGCTCTGTCACCCAAGTTGGAGTTTAGAGGCGCAATCTCAGCTCACTGCAGCCTCTGCCTCCCAGGTTCAAGTCATTCTCCTATCTCGGCTTCCCTAGTAGCTGGGATTACAGGTGCATGTTACCACACCTGTCTAATTTTTGTATTTTTAGGCTGGTCTCGAACTTCTGACCTCAAGTGATCCACCCGTCTCAGCCTCCCAAAGTGCTGGGATTACAGGTGTGAGCCACCACACCCGGCCCAAAGTTAATTTAATAATTATGTATTTTAAACTAAGTAGAAATATTTAGAAGGATAGCAATGCTTTAAGTGAAATATTAATGTAGGATATCATGTTTATTAAGTCATTCAACTAAGTTACTAAGTTCCACTATGCTTAAGGCTCTGTGCTAGGTGCTAGGGACATAGTAAGGAACCACATACATTTATCAAGGCAGGCAAGTTGTGAACAAGGAAGTTCATCTTTAGGCATCCATATTTCTTCTCACTAGAATCCTCCAAATCATTCCCTATTTGCCCTAACCACCCCTTCCAAAAACCTTCCCTAAGAGGTACATCTCATAATCTAAATCTCCTCTGCCTTCCTCCTCCCCACCCCATCAATAGCCCATGCTAGCCTGGCCTGTGTGACTGTGTCCCATTCCTTCTAGCAATCTGCTGTCCCTGCTTGGCTGTTAATAGATCACCCCAGGTGACGTAATGTTTTAACCAAGCAGAACCACAAATATCCCCAGAAAGCTCTTAGGAAAATGAGTGGCTTTCCTGTCCCTGCTCCTACTATTATGGGTCAGCTTTGATCTGATCTAAACTTGCTGTGCCCACGTCGTCATGTTAGACTCAGTAAGTGAAAGATGCCAGTTCTCCTGGCGGAAACCAGATCTGTATATGCACTCTGGGAAAACATAGCTTTCGACTGTGTCTTCCTTCTGGACAAGAGGAGGACACTCCAGGCAAAGCAAACTGCATGCAAAGGTACGTGGTGTGAGGCAAAGCAAGGGGGCTAGGGTGGAGGGTGTATGTGGGAGAATGGCAGGAAATGAGGGCTGGGGCAGATAAGAGTAGAGAGATAGGGAAGTCGAACTGTAAGCACTGGTGGTCACAGTGGTGAATCTTAAGCAGAGAAGTGACATGATCTGATTTGTGTTTTGGAAAGCTCATAGTAGCAGAATTAGGAGGATGAATAGGGAAGGGGTTCTGACTGGAGTTACAAGGGCTCCGTGATATCACGAAATATATATATTTGGTCTTCCTCTTGTTTCCTGATATGGAGCTACTAAAACCCTTGGCATCTCTGGACTGATGAGTGTCTTTTGGATACCAATTAAATGACTAGAGGCTGGGGGCCCTTAGAGAGCTTCAGGATGGGGACTGGTCCCTGGAAAGATCAAGGCAAGATGAAAGTGTTGGGACTTTCAGCCCCACCTCTGGAGAGGAGAAGGGAGCTGAAGGTTAGTTGATCGCCAGTGGCCAGTGATTTA